TGAGCAGCGCCGAGATGGGCAAGTTCAACATCTCCCCCGACGAGGACAGCTCCAGCTACAGCTCCAACAGCAACGACTTCAGCTACCCGTACCCCACCAAGCCGGCCGCCATGAAGAGGTGAGCGGGCTCCGCGGCACCGGCCACGGGCGGCACCCAGGCGGGCACACGGGAACACGGGAATGACTGCGGGCGGAGACGGGCGCGACGCTCCGTGCGCTGGCAGAGCGGCAGGTGGGGTGGTTCTTTTGGGGCTGTTCGTCGGTTTGCTCGTTTCCTTTGAAATGTATTGGAAGTGAATATGCCAGTTGCCCGTGACAGTCACTAACGATGCAATGTTGTTTTGCAGCCACTATGCAGATATTGATCCAGAAAATCAAAATTTCCTGCTCGACTCCAATCTTGGAAAGAAGAAATATGAAACTCAGTATGTAAGTATATAAGCAATGACGTTTCAAATAAATAAACAGAAATGTATTGCCAAAATTATATTTGTTTTAATTCTGAGATGAGTAATAACTTTCTATTAATTATTACCTGTCTCCCTTTTCTCAGCATCCGGGTACTACTTCCTTCGGAATGTCAGTATTTAATCTGAGCAATGCTATTGTGGGTAGTGGCATCCTTGGTCTTTCTTTTGCCATGGCTAACACTGGAATTGCTCTTTTTGTGTAAGTATCTTTTGGTTCATCAGAAAAAAAAAAGTCTTTCTGCTGTGTACTTCCTAATGGAAAAATACTTGGTGTAAGAATATGAGCTCTAGAAAACATCCAGTCGTTTCCATAGGTGCAGAATTGTATTTTAGGATTTATGGCTTGTTTTAAATTTAAAGACTGTGATACATTCAGAAGGATTTGCAAAAATTAAACAGCTTCATTGCAAGTTCTGCAACCCACAGAAATATTTTACAGTACTTTACCTAATTGTAGTTTTTTCATGAAAAACTGATAGAATTCCCTTGAAAGTTCTGTTATCCAAGTCCCAGTCAGGGACGTAAAATCCTTCTTCTCAACCAATATCATTGTGCCTACAGACTTACAATGTACTTACACCAATAAAGAAATCCTTTTTATTGCTATGCTTTTACTCAACTCAGGGAACTGGTTTCAGTTACACCAAACAATTACTGTCTGCCTGCCAGGGAGGAATGTGGAATAACCATCATATCTTTATTGATACATCTACATTGGCAAAAGCTTTCAGGTGTAAGACAGACTGTAGTAATGTAGTTGGAAATTACATGAGAAAACTGTACAAATTATGTACAGTGCTTTCAGTCATCTTGGGAAACTACATTTTTCGTGTATTGAAGGCAGTTCAGCACACATGACATGTAACGTCAGCGGTTTGGCTGCAAATGAGTATCCATGGATATGTTTGAAGGAACTTCGTGCTTTTATCCTGGAAATGGATAAATGTGCTGAATGTTGAAGAACATGTGAAGAATAATGTTTAGTTCAAAATTTCTCTTGACTGTTGCCAGATTTCTAGAAAGTAGGTTAGATTTACTTCCAGATGTTTCAGAGTGTATCAGGGTGGGATTCAAATTTTCTGAGGAAACTAAGGTATACTAAGGTATAAAGTTCTCATCTGAAGGGTTTTATTTAAAGTATATGGTGATTTGTTGATCTTTTATGAAGATTTTCACGTACTTAGATGATGATAAACTGAATGAACAACTTAGCATGAATTCAGGAGATAGATACTGCATATTTCAACACATCAGTTTCATGTTCTAAAGATGTTCTGCAGCACATGTAATCAGCCTAATGCACATTAGAATGTCTCTGAGGAGAGGAAAAAAAAAGAATTTAAGGTATTTGAACAGACTTGATGGGTCCTTTTTTTCTACAGAAAAAATGTTCAAAACTGTCAATTTAGCAATTGAGTGCTGACGTCAGTTGCCTTTCATGTCCAGGTACTGCATTCAGATTTACTTACATTAGGACTGTTTCAAAGACAAACTACCTTGTTACCTTTTAAAAATTAGTATAGTTTGTATAGTCCTGTGGCAGGAAAGCAGTTAATCACTGATGATACTGAGGATTTATGATGACAGTGAGGGCATTACAGGCATGCTTTAATAACTAGGTTATAGATTCAGATCCAGATGCAGTTGATTAAGGCGGTAAATTCTTCGAAGACTGCGGAATCACTTGTGTCGGTGCTGTGACTTGTCACTTGTGTCAGCACTAAATAAATAAATAGTATGGTCTGGAAGCCAGAATCAGAGTGAGCTTCAGGATGAATTTGCTGACTGATCTTGTCAACACTGTAGGCAGCCATTCCAGGTTAGGACTGAGGGGTCCAGGATCTCTGCTGTTTTAAAGTAATGTAAAAGCACATTAAAGTAACATTAAGTAACAGCACATCTCAGCTGTGCTGTTCCTAGTTGATGGCTGAGTAACTCTATCTGTCAGAAATAGGTTTATTTGTGTGCATGTGTTGGTCTTGAATTAGCACCGTAAGACAAGTTTCCTGAATCCCCTGTACAGATCTGCGAAGTTTTTCTCAAATCTTCTGGTTTCTGGTTCTTTGTGCTGCATTTACTAATTTCACCAACATTAAAAATGTCACAAAAGGAAATGTAAAGGGTATTCTGGGAGCGCTAAATGCAGCTTGCCATTTTTAAGCAGATATGCTGATTCTTAGGTTTTTTGTAAAGCAGAATGCTTGTACTGGTGTAAGAAGGACCAGAGGGTTTTTTGAATGTATTGTAATTTTCCACTGTGTTCTTCAGCAGCTGAGAAGTCCCCCCTAGCGTGCCACTCCAGAAGGTGCATTTGTTGAGGGAGAGACTTGTTGAGAGATCTGCATTTTAGGTGATTCACACGTGCTTCTGGAAATAACATGCATTCCCTGTAAAAGCTGTGGGAAAGATAAACACTAGCAATTCCCATGTAAGCACACCTGAAGAGTTAACTTTTGAGGAAAGAATTTTTAATTTTTTTTTTTTTGTTAGTGACAATAGATACATATTTCCATTTGAAAACACAGCTCTCAATGTGTCTGAATTTTCAGTCAGTTCTTTAAGGCTTTTGCAGTTTCATCTTTACATTAAAAAAGACATAAAATAGGTTAAAGCTGATTTCTTTTAAGAACAAGAGATAATCTTCACTTGCAGTTAGTCACAACCGTATTCAATGGGTGCATAACACACTGTTGAACAAGGATAGGAGGACAGGAGAAATACAGTGTCTTACAAGGATACAATCCCCCCAACCACTAGTCCCATTGATACTTTGTTATTTATATCAAATGTAGCCAACTATAATAGCCTGACAGCTTGGCGATGCTAATGCCACTTTACACTAAATAGAAGCATTGTTTAATCCTGCACTAGAATTTCTTTGTATGCTTCTGAAATGCAATTTAGTATAAAATCCTTTCTAAATGAGGCATTAATTAGGTTTTCAAAATGCTTTTAGCTGACCTTAGAATTTACATTTTTTTCTGAGGTAATATTTTAATATGAATAATGCTTATGTTTGATACATCTTTATTTAATAGGGCTACAATAAATCATTTATGTCTATTACAAATTTGCATGTTTTTCTCTCCCCAGGATACTCCTGCTGTTTGTCTCAATATTTTCTTTGTATTCAGTGCATCTTCTTTTGAAGACTGCCAACGAAGGAGGTATGGCAAATTACTATATTACAGGCATGGTATTTGTTTCATATGGTATCTTGGTGAAACACACCCTTCCAATGAAATATTCTGTTTTCTTTTAGGATCTTTATTGTATGAACAGTTGGGAATGAAGGCTTTTGGTATGGCTGGAAAACTTGCTGCTTCTGGATCAATTACAATGCAGAACATTGGAGGTGAGGACAAGATCTTAAAATGTCTGTACTGTCAATAGTAATTGTTCCCTACTTATTCTTGGAGACTTACTTTCACGCAACATGTGTTCATTAACCGCTTGTGTTCAAGTGAAGTTATGAAACATGTTATGTGATTCTTGCATCGTGTGGCATATTCTATATTTGTAATGATCTATGATGTTATTCACCTACAGCTATGTCAAGCTACCTCTTCATAGTGAAATATGAGTTACCATTGGTCATCAAGACATTTATGAACATCGAAGAGACTACAGGGTAGGTGTTAGAACTCCTCATCAGAGAAACTATTAGGAGAAACAAATACGGAGACTGTATATATTTTTATGTGAAGACCACGTTCGGTACACCATAGGGTAGCTTCTTACTCAGACAGAGATACAGTAAGTTTTCCCTTCCCCTGAGTGCTTCACTTCATTTAGATGCAGCCTGACCTGGGAAAAGGGTAGAAAAATACAGGTATCGCATCATATTATAGAAAGCTGTTCTCTAAAGAATATCAGGTAAGTGTTAATGTATGTACCAGTCAGTACATACTCTAAGGAAAGATAAATGTGGTTATGGTTGGCTTTTTTGTTTTGGTTTTGTTTTGTTGTTTTTTTTCTTACTGCATCTAACTGGTTTGGTCTGATTAATTTGGTTTTCTAGTGTTAATATTTTGGGAAGTGTTTAAATATAAGATTGAGGTGCAGTTTGCAATGAATGTCTTAAGCAACAAAAAAGTTCTCAAAAAGATAGGGGGACTAAATCTGGGACCTAAACCAGAGTTTCCATGCCCAAGACTAAACTGGTGGATGCCTTGCCATCTAGCCCTGGAGACACCTTAACTCCAGAGTGGCTTTCATCCTTGGCTTTAAATATAGGTGCCTCAGATAAGGTTAATTTTATCTAATCATACCCTCTGAAAGTTAGATTTTGAGCTCATCATTACTCTGGTCATTGTATAATCAGTGGAGAAGGGTGATCCTCTGTAGTGGTCAGTTCAGCGCACCTGTCTTAGACACTTGTTTTGGGCATCTCCACAGAACAGTTAATCATATCACTCTGTATTGAGAGGGTGTGTAAAAACAAGATGCCTGAGTTCAGATGGATAGAGTTAAGTGCTATAAATCTCACTCTTCAGAGTTGTACTTCTGTGCCTTGTCCTGAAGTGTCCCAGTCTTGAGAGGGCTGAGCAGCTCAAGACTCCAACTTACACCTAAGCCTGAGTTCAGAAGGTAGGCATTTTTCTGCCTGTGTTCCCCAAGGGGTGTTCAAGCCATTTGGTGGTGTTCGAACAGCTTGCTGATAGATACTGTTATAACAATGCTAGCCATCTTTTTTTTTTTTTTTTTTTTTTTTTTTTTAATGTACTCAAATGCTGCACCTACCCCATCTACTTAGTAGTGTTATATTTACAAATTCTCTGCTGGGAAGGTTCATTTCTCTCCTTTGGCTGAATTCAAGTCCTTATTTTTTAATTCTTAAGAAAGTCCCTGGAGTAACCAGTACTTAGAAGGGGGCTTGGAGGCAAATACTTTTAACTGTCCCATCTTCAGTAAAGAATTCAAAATTGTTCAAGAAGGAAAGTTAAAGGCTGTGAATCTCACTGGATACAGCTGCTGCTTTGCAAATCTGGCAGAGAAAATTAAGAAATCAAGATCTGTATTTTAAATGTTTTCTTGTTGGCTGGCACTAGGTAGCTGTACACAGATTGAAAGTAAATATTTTCTCAGTGCTCTGGCAATTGTGAACCCCGTTTAACTGACTCTCTCCATGCATTGCTTAGGGGAGTCTGGGTGGCTACCATTGGCATGGATTCCACTCTGGCAGCCTGGTGCCTAAAATGTAAGCACTTACCTGTTTAAATGTCCCAAAATAATGCTTACTGTAAAAGATCTGAAAATTCTGAGACAATATCATAGATACTAGCTCCATTATTAAAATTTGTTTAGCAACTTTTAAAATACTTAGCTGTATTTAAAGTTGCACAATCCCATTCTTACTCTTTAACACAGAAAATCTTTGAAGTCCTTGATCTGAAAGTCCTGATAGCCTCTTTATGAGGTATGCACAATAACAGTGCACATTCTTATGACATTCACATTCAAATGCAAAGTCTCTGTGCTGTGCTTTCTTTTAAATTTACCACAAGACTACTACATTTTAAAAAAAGTGTATGATGTTAATGTCCTATACATTCGAAGTTTCTAAAATAGTCCTTTCTACATCTACTTATGCCAGATAAAACTGAGTAAAGAGATGACCAAATTGTTTTTGCATTTACATCATAAATCCAGAGCAAGTCAGTTAATTATTTCGTATTTCCACTACCATGTAAAAGGTTATATCTCAGCAATTATGTTTGCATATACAGTTTTCCAATTAAATAATTTTTCTTTTAACTCAATAGTATACATTGCATTTTAAAATAAATACTGTTAGATGACACCATAAGAGGATGTAAAATATTAATATTTGGGAATAAATGCTTAATATTACTTTAAGTGCTTAAAGCGTATAGGATGACCCTATAGAACTTTGCTTTTCTGTGTTTCAAAAAATATGTTAATCTCCTAATGCTCCAAAATGTTTTGTCAAAAAATAGCTGCTGCTTCTTATGGAATAAGTGGCAAAAATGTTTCGAAGGAAAAAAATTCTGGGGTTCTTACCATGCTTTCCCTACTGAAAGGGACTAAATGTGCCTCCAAGAGACTCCCAGTGCTTGTTGGAGTTTTCTCAGCCAGTGGGCTTGAGCTACTGCCTTACCTTCAGCCCTCACCTGTTTTTCTTTAACTCCCACAGGGCACCCAACAGAATTTTATTTCCATTTAAAGTGGAAACCCTGTTGGGGCTCTGCAATATTCTAATACATCTGGAGAGTTGGGAGACAACACTTAAAAAAATTACTGGTTTTTCCATGATTGATCCCAGTTGACTTTTTTTCTAACCAGTCATTTAATTTTCTGTCTTCTGACTTCCAGATACACATTATTTTTATAAAAGGACACTAAAGGAAAGGCACAATGCAGGTTTGGGGTGAGATAAGAAGCTATTGTAGAGCATTAGGCCCATAAAAGAAATTGAACACTAATCCTTTGTGACATCAGGTAGTGCATATTTTTAAGGAGCCATATGTTATAGAAGATGAGTGAAGACTAAACTGAAAATGTAGTTTTTAAATACTTGATTACTTAAAAATATTTTTTTTTTCTACAGAGAATGGTATCTCAATGGTGACTATTTAGTGCTGCTGGTGTCTGTCATCCTCATTCTTCCCCTGTCCTTACTGAAAAATTTAGGTAAGCAGGAGAGTGCAATCGAAATTAAAAAAACATTGAAAATACTTTGGGGAAGTGGATTGATACAATGTTTGAGTCTTCATGCTATGTGAAGTAACAACTGTTTCCAAACTCGTTTCTTGGGAGTAATTAGTGTATAGGTAATTGCTATGTCTACTTGAAAAAAAGAAAAAAATTAATCAATACAAGTATCCTAAATTACAGATATGTTTTTGGAAAATGAAAGAACAGTAAATAGGTGGCTTTAGAACAAGGTCAGCAGTAACTTTCTGTTCTTATTACAAAGTTTGACCTCTTTTGGTCAATAGTGAAATAACATAATATTGTTATTAGCTGTCCTATAAGAGTCTCCAAAGAATAGGGATGACCCTGGGCAGTTAAATTGCCTTTGCAGTGTCTTTTCATTTTGGATCCCAAGCATCAGCAGAATATTCATACCAGATGCTTTCTCTGAAATGGCTGTAATTCAGTTATATATGTGAATAATTCAGTTAACACGCTTATTTGTACAGAGAATCTTGTAGTAGAACCTTAATAATCGAGTGTCTCAAATTTATTTATCAAGTTACTATTTCTAGAAATTAAGTAAATCAATGAAAACAGAAGGGAAAAGGCTAAGTTATCTAGTAGCACATGCTATAAGAATTAACTGTATAATCATTATTCTTATACAATAAACAATTCATATAGTTGTTGCTGTGGGTTTTTTTGGTTCGCATTTTTTTTCTTATAAGTTAAAAAGTTTAATACTACAGACTCACTGTATGTACAGACCCTAATATGTCTTTCAGAATTTTCAGATCTGGGTTGAGATTAGCGGAAAGTCAATGAATAATTAAGTAGTTCTGTGTGTAACGCTAAGAAAATCACAATCTAAAACTATCACTGATAGAATATATTTTGTCATGATGTTTTGACTTGAATGGTGTTTCTGTTTATTGTACCTTAGATTTTTTTTTTTATCTTTCTTGGTCACAGGGTATTTGGGCTATACCAGCGGCTTTTCCTTACTTTGCATGGTCTTCTTTCTGATTGTTGTAAGTATAATCTTGTTGAGATCCAGTGCTTGTAAAACTGTGTTTCAAAGTGAAATTAAACATAGTTTCTGAAAATTTTCACATCTTGCATTAGTCAAACTAATAATAAATGCATGGCTTTATTTCTAGGTAATTTGGAAGATGTTTCAGATTCCTTGTCCTATGGACAGTGACATTATGAATGCGACATTATTAAATGGAACACTAGCACCTTTGGTAAATGAAAACATAACAAATGATATGTGCAAGCCAAAATATTTCATCTTCAATTCACAGGTAACTGACTGAAATCAAACGCTCTGTCGAAAATAACTGAGACGAAATACATAGCAGATAAATTAGGTCATTTTTCTTTCAAGTATTTGCCCAGTTCTAAACTTGGGATGTGTTAAGACTTTCTGTTCCAGTAGACTTGGGCACTGTTTACCTCATGTGGACTGGGTGTTTCCACATTCCAAATACAGAGAAATTAGCAGAGCTTGATGTGCCTGTTTGAGTGGCAAAAAATACATCTTTCATTCTTCAGCACGGCATTTCTCAACCTTAGTCGAGTAAGCTAGTGAAGCATTTTAAAAAGTTGATTGCAGAAGAAGATGAAGGAAATAAAATCGTAAAAGCATGCAAATAGGAAGTGTTTGCCAGGGTTTGGGTTAGACTTGTTCCCAGTCACAAATTCTTGAGTCATGAATGCTCTCAATTGCAGTGGTGAATGTCCACACATGGAGAAGTATGTGTAATACCTAATACCAAGATCAGGCTCTAGTGGCTTAAGCCTGTGAGTTACAGAACATAATTTTGAATGCAGATACAGTCAGATCAGCATGGACTTCAGTGACATTTGAGATGATTTGGTCCTCAGGGTCTGGGTTTAAGAAAACACAAACTTGTTTTAATTTATTCTAAAGTTTCTGATGTAAAGAATAGCTAGTCTTCTTCAAAAAATAAACTAATGCCTAAGTCAAAACTGAAGAATCTACAAATGATTATTTCTAAACTTAATTTTTTAGTGTCTGTTGAGATACTTACAAAATATACTTTTTTTTTCAGACTGTCTATGCTGTCCCAATCCTAACATTTTCTTTTGTCTGCCATCCTGCAATTCTTCCTATTTATGAAGAACTGAAAAGGTAAATGTTAGAGATATATCTATAATTCCACTAAACAAAGTAGTATGAAACAGTATGTTCTCACAACTAACAATGTTTCTTTTCCTTGCAGCCGAAGCCGTAAAAGAATGATGAATGTATCCTATGTATCTTTTTTTGCCATGTTCCTCATGTATTTATTGGCTGCTCTCTTTGGATACCTGACATTTTATGGTGAATATTGCCTACTCTGCTTTCTGTTAAATTACTTAGGTTCTGCAAAACCACAGTATTATTTTAAAGATAGAACAAGAAAGCATTTACTATGGGTTTTAAGTACACACTGTTTGTTGGGGTTGTTTTTAGTGCTTCTGTGAGGGCACACCCAAAAGGAGATCAGTGGTAGACTTAGGTCCGAGACACAGGATTAAAACTGGATTAAAACAGATTCCATGCCTCCAAGTCTTTCCTGTGTAAAATGGAGACATGCTTACAGGAGCTCTTAAGGCTTTCAATTCATATTGATGTGACTGTAAAATTTGCTTAGAATTTAGAGCAGAAGCAGTTGTTTGAAAAGTATATCAACTACATCTAATTAAAATACTATTTTCTTTATAGGAAAAGTCGAACCAGAACTGCTTCATACCTACTCTGCTTATCTGGGTGCTGATGTTCTCCTTCTTATTGTGCGTCTCGCTGTTCTTATGGCTGTAACCCTCACTGTACCTGTAGTTATTTTCCCGGTAAGTAATTTTTTTTTTTTATGTCTTACTACCAGTTTTTATTTTCCTCCCTACAGTCATTTACTGATTTGGGTACTCCTGTTTATTAGTTGAGAGAGTTTTTCTCTTAACTGAAAACAGAAATTCATTCCAATAAGCTTGATGAAATATAGCTATACTGTTAATTTAAATAAATATGCAACATTTACTAAGCAGCAGGTACAAATACATTCGGTTATATTGTTTTCCTGGTACGATTAAGTCAATTGGGAAAATGAAACAGACTGGCCCTTTATATAGAGTATTTACACTGTTGTGTTATCAGCTTACAAAAGTCAGCGTGTTTTTGTACATACATTGTGGACACAATCAGACCATTTAGGTGTGTATTGTTGAGCAGCATCCATAGATGTTACAAAATTCCCTGGAATTTATTTTTATTCAAGACAGGTGTTTTTTTTGGTTTTTTTTTTCTGTTACTGACTGCGCTTTGAAAATCTGAATCACTGAAAAGAGGGAAAAAAACCCAGAAACACAGAGCTGCCTCTCAAGTGCAGAAAGTAAATATCTAAAAAAAAATTCTTTCATATTTTGAGTTCTAATAAAATATGAAGTGTTCAGGAAAATAACATTAAAATACTTTCAGAAGGAAGGTCTAACTCAGGTGACAGTCACTGTCTTCCACAATAAAGACTAAACTGTCTTTTTTTTTTTCTCCCCCTTCAAAAGATCCGCAGTTCCATTACGCAGCTGTTGTGGGCAGGGAAGGAGTTCAAATGGTGGCGTCATTGTTCCATTACAATTACTCTTCTGGCATTTACCAATGTGCTTGTTATCTTTGTCCCTACTATTCGAGACATCTTTGGATTCATTGGTAAGCATTCCCTTGTCAGTTCAAGCAGTCTTTCACATTTTAGAAAAGGCAATTTCTATGTAATTTAAGTATGTTTACCTGTTTATGAATATTTCTTTCTGTGCTTTTTCTATACAGGTGCTTCTGCAGCTGCCATGCTGATCTTTATACTTCCTTCTGCCTTCTATATCAAATTAGTGAAGAAGGAACCAATGAAATCAGTGCAAAAGATTGGGGTATGTATAGACAGATATGTAATTACACTTGCTTACTAATTCAGAAAAAAAAAATTTGATTTTCTGCTTCATGATTTAAGAATTTCAAAGTCCTGGTGAAGGTAGTCAGTAAATTGGTATTTAATGTTATCTTAATTTAAAATGTGGGAGCTGCATAGGAATTAAGAAGCTGAGGGGCTGGCCATCACAAGGCTCAGTTCACTTCAGTGACTTCTCTCAGCCCTTGGCCCCCAGTCTCAACAATAGTTGGGTCATTCCGTTGCTGATAAGAACCAGATTTCAACAGAATACCCTTAACAGCTATACTAAAAAAGACTTAACAATCTTTAAATAGTCTTTTAAGACTTATGTACATCATTTAACCCATAAAAGCTGACCTCTCTTGGGTTTATCCCGACTGTTCTTGGTGCTCTTACTGATCGTAGACATACTGACTCAGAATCAAATCTTAGACATACTGAGTTAAGTCAGCACAGTGGCATAGCCTGGCTGGTATCAGCAACTACATTAACTTTCCTTAGTTGAGGGTGAGGTCTGCTATATTGAAAAAAAGTACTTTTTGATTTGAAAAATGACCCCAAGTATGAGAAAGGTAGCTCCTTATCATTGACTTGATCTCTTGTCTCTTTGTCCTTCATGAGCAATGGCGTTTTTGTTATATATAGGCATGACTTTATAGGTGTATATCATGGCTTAACCAACAGTATCATAGCAGAATCTGAAGTACTTCTTTTATGTTTGCTTTTTTTCAGGCTTCATTCTTCTTTCTAAGTGGAATAATTGTGATGACTGGGTGTATGACACTGATTGTTCTAGACTGGACCCAGAATGTTACATCTGATGGCCATTAACTGCCCTGGTTTAATCTCTAGCACTCCACTTCAGATGCCAGTGTTCACTCAGATACCTCCTGAGAACGAAAATGAGCTACTCAGCTTCCTTTGAAAGGCAGATTCTTTGTTGATGGTTCTTCTGACTGTAGAATATCTGAACTCTGTCTTTAAGAAACTATTCTGCATGATGGAAGTGGATATTAACATCAAACCATGTGAGTGTCTGGCTGACAGAAGTGACAACTTTATTCCATTCCAGAGAATGGACAGAACTCTCTGTAGACTTTTATCAAGCCATGTTTGGCTTTCGTCATTGTTACTTGGATATTTTGTTATTTTACTTGAATGTGCCTAATGGAACCATTTGATGTGAGAAAGAACTCTTTAATTTAAAGCAAAGTGTTTAAATAACCAATGAGAGAGAGAAAGAGAGAGAGGGAGAGAGAGAAAAACACTTATTTTTTGTACCAAAAATTCTTATGGACCTCAAAAGCACTATTTTGACTGTAAGAAACACTTTTCTAAAAAGAAGGAAAGAATAACATAGAAAAGCTCATTAAGAATATTTAATCAGTGTCCTAAATTAAATTATTAAATATAGTTTGACTTTCTCGATCTCTTCACTCTCATGACCAATGACAGGACTCAAGGATACAGCATGAAACTGAGTCAGGGGAAGTTTAGATTGGATATTGGGAAAAGGTTTTTAACCCAGAAGGTGGTTGAGCACTGGAACAGGCTCCCCAGGGAAGTGGTCAGAGCACCAAGCCTGACAGAGTTCAAGAAGCGTTTGGACAATGCTATTGGACACATGGTGTGATTCTTGGGCTGTCCTGTGCAGGGCAAGGAGTTGGACTCAGTGATCCTGATGGGTCTCTTGCAATTCAGTATATTTTATGATTCTGTAGAGGCATAATAAGAAGAAATTTTGTTTTTAAAATGCTTCTGACCTGTTTTGACCAAAACAGGTCAAAACTCTCTGATAATAAATGCTTCCCATGAAATTCACCTAGTTCAAATTAGAGTGAAAATAATCCTGAAAATCATTTGTCAGCTTACTTAAGTAATTACAGTTACCTTATTACCCAAAAATGGTGTGGAAACCCTAATTTTCAAGCTTTAAAAAACCCCACCTTTTAGAAATGGGTACATTTGAGAAAAGCTTAGGTAATCTAAAAATTGTAAAGATGGCATTGGCATTTCCCTTCTTGAGGTACTCAGTAGTGCAATTGAGTCAAACAGGGTTTGGGATTTTTGCTTTTTTGTTTTTTGTGGTTTTTTTCCTATTGTAGATATAAACTGAATGGCACTGGAACATAGGATGCCATTAATACAAAACTCCCTCCTCAAATTCCCTTTATTAATAAGGTCCATTTTCAGTTGTAGCAATGTCCGTTAGGGTTTTTTCTGTCCAATATATCTTGGAACACTGTAGGGAAAAAAAAGGTCCTTAATTAGTCTACTACTTGTATAATATTCAAAAACTGTACAGTATTTCTCAAATTCCTCATCCATTATTGGATTTTGAATTACTTGACTATTCTGTTTCTGAGTCAAATCCACAAAATAACTGCACCAATATTTCATGCTTGGTACAAACTCTCTTCACACACATAACTGGGATTCCTCTTCCAATTTATACTGTATAGTAGTATTAAAGATAACCTCATAGGCCGGATAGTCATCTCATACTTGTTTGCTTCAGAGATAGATAGGTTTCTTATGAGCCTTAGCTGACGAAACAGGTGCTGTATGGTTGTGATGAGCTATTTTGTTTCTAGTGCATGTTTACTCTTTCATTCTTATCCCAGGTTGAAGAGAGATAACACTTGTATAACAGCGTACTTGGCTTATAAGAGGTTCTCAAACACAGCAATATTGGGTACAAAAGCCTAGAGAGAGATTATTAATGAAATAATCATGGCAATGTGGTCAACTATCTTCATCTGACACAATGTTTTAAAAAATTATTTACAAAGGTCTGCTCAGTCTTTGTGTCAGAAGGAATAACTAAGGGCCTGTAATCCATTGATTAAACAGTGCCTGAGACTTTTTTGCTCTTATAGAATTAATCAAACAAACCTAAACAATAGTGTTTGGCAAATAATGTCAATCTCTGCCCAGCCATTTAAAAATCTATGAAAAACAACTGCAGGTATTTTGTATTGATACTTCTGCATGACTGTAAGTACTGGTCACTTAAGTCTATAGTGTAAAACTGTAATGAGAAGTTAGATTTCTCATGTGTTATTCGTATTATTAGTTTGGTGGTACTCAACTGGCAATTAACAATCCTGGAGTCAGCACTGACTAACACTCCTTAGGTACTTCTCTGCCTCAGGTACTGTACATCCATGGCTAACTATCCCATGTTACCTGATCTCCACAGAAGTGCTGAGCACATGCCTCCTCAGTACTTTGGCAGCTTTTCTTCTTCCTCCACAAATGTGCAAAGGTGGAAGAGGATTAAAATGTTGTCTGCCTTTGAGCAATTTGTAGCACATAAGGGATGAAGTGTTTCCCTTGTTAGCATTCAAAAAGGAGGAGAGAAAGTGAGAAATAGCCTCCTTTCTCACAGTAACCATAGAAAAGGAAGGAGTTGTAAATGAGAAGCTACTACAAAGTCCTTCTCAACAACCAGAAAGGAGGAAGATTTTTGTGATGACACCTCATAAGGTATTGTACATGTCATTAATTTTCTGAATGTAGCAATTTCCAGATTATACATTGTGTGTCGTATTATTTGATAACTGACTCTCCACCTGCAACAGTTGAGTTCCACTTGGCTGGGTTGATTTCCAACATATGATTTTTTTAATTATTATTTTTTCCAAACCTGTCTGTTTAAAGTTACATACATTACAAACCACCTAAAAGAGCAGCTTCAGTATTAAACCACTGTTTTGTCACCTCAGTTAGACATTACTGTCTTCCATGATATTTCAGTCATAAATGTAACATGTTATTTATAAAACATTAATCCATTAAAACTAAACCTATTTTTCAATATTTATGATAGTCTATGTACATAAATTAAATTGTATGTGTGTATATACTGTAAGTATAATGTATATAATGTAGCTTTGGAATCCAGGATTTATGTATATATTCCTCTCTCATTACTGATTGTAACATCATTTCAAGGAGTTGTTCATGTTGTACATCTGTATAACAACTGTCAAAGGAAAGAACCTTTTACAACAAAGTATAATGCTTACAGAAATGGAAGAAGTGTGTTACACCAAAGGTGTGTAATAAAACACTAAGACTGTATTTACTACAAATGTATATGTTGCAATAAACACAGGAATCACTTGGGTCCATAGAAAGCATTGTTCAGATTCGTGTATGCTTTTCCTCTAAGATTTACCATGGATGTTACGATTTCCTGAATGCAGCAAGTTAACAACCTTTGCGATCTAACCATTTGTTAGGCTGCCAAATTCGGGCATCCTGCGGTACATCTGTGTACATATGTAAATACCCACCGTATTGGTAGAGGCCAGCAGTACAGCTGCAGTTGTTGGCTAGACTGCTGGCCAACAGCACAGTTTCAATGAAACATTGTATGTTTGTTTTAACTGAAATAAATAAATAGATAATCCTAAGTAATGGTGTGGTGTTTTCTTGGGGGGAGGCATTTGGAGGATTTTCTTTGAAGATGATATTAAAAATGTACCTTTAATTTCATGCATATTTAACTTACTGAGCACTCTTTAGGAAAACAGGCCGGGAAGAAAAAATGTCGTACAACTACATCTATGATTTATGACACTACAAGGGTAAACAGAACAAGACTGGGCATTAAAACAGGAGATTAAATTCTGCAAGGAACCTGCATTATGTCATTTTTATTTATTTTTTTTTTTTTTTAGAACAGGCATAGCTGGAGACAAGACTCGATGTGTTAGATCTTGTGTAAGTGTAAAAAATGGGTGAGTTTTGCTGAAATCCTATGCCACTTTCCTTCATTTGAATCTCCAAGAGAAGAATAACTGCTTAGGTAAAATTTTCAAAACTGGCATGTCTGTTTCACTTCCATTTTAGAAACTGAGTACAGACTAAATGCAGTGTATCTAGTCTTAATTCTCAAAAAATCTCTATCAATTTATATGAATACCTGTCCCAAATATTAAGAATCAGGTGTGAGAGACACTGGAGTTGTAACAGTGTGTCATGTATTCAGCAAAACAGTATAGGAAAGGAATGTTAAAGAGGTATAGTTAAGTACCCTGAAATTAGGAAATGCCTCAATTAAGGTTGTATTAATTACATGATAGCATAGTATTTTTTCCTGGAATCCTCGCTTCATAGCTGTTCATTATTTTATTTTCTATGATGCTTTCTGTTCACGGTGTTTATGTATTTGTGCAAAGTCCTGATGGGGGATGAATGTCCTCATTTCTCCCTAGTTCTCATTTTAACGTCTTCTTTGTGAAACACAAATTATTCATTTGCACAACGTTGCAGGCCTGTAAGAAGGTGTTAATCAGTATACAGCTCTGGGGACCTGGAGCATGGAGAGGCAGTGCTGTGAGGCAGCCATGTATTTGAGTCCACAATTTAATGTGGACTTGCTTATTTTGTATTTCAACATTTGCTTACAACCATCTGAACCATAACTTTAAACAGGTTTGGCGTGATCATCATTCTTGAAACAAGAACCCTAAGCATCAAGTTAGCCATTTGGAAAGGGTGATCAAGTCTGGAAAGGCTCATTCTCTTAAGCTGCCCATTATCACAAAGGAACTTCATAGCAGCAGAGAAGCCCTTTCCCTAGAACGCTGCTTGACTAGCTGAACAATTAAGCCCACCTCTATGTAATCAGGCATTTCCATCAATTTAAATAACATGAGAAACAGTGTTTTCTACACACTTATTTCTCTCAAGAGCTGGCTCATTGTGTGAGGTGAATGAGATAGTGCAGTGATTTAAAAAAAGAAACCAAAATTTCATTGTGACAGTCTAAAATCCTGTGCTTTGAACGTATCTACCTGCCATGAGGTCTTTGCTTCAGAAGATGGTTGTCACTTAGACTTTAATCACAATGCTGAGATTTGTGAATCTCTTGAGGTCTATGCAGGTAACAGGTGGCATCTTTATTTCTGATTCCCTGGAAATTTTCCTTTCTTCCACCCGGGCTTTGCCAAGTCAGTCCTGTCCCCAGGTCATGCCTAGGCACCTGACCCTCAAGTGTTCATGCAGCCACTGGATTGTATCAGGTCGTGCCCTAAGGTCCCCTGTGGCTTAGCTCATATCTCTGTTTGCAGGGCAGCACAGCTCCCATTCAGTCTGTGTGCCCAGGTTCCCTTTCTGGAAAAACAGAGCAGAGCGTGGCCACTGTATGCCCACATTTCAGTGCCAGAAGAAACCAAGATGCCATGAGGGAGCCTCCAATCCTGTCCTTCAAGGAATGTGGATGTGCCATCCCATCTCCAGTGC